AAAAAGTAACCTGAGTAGAAAAAAAAATTTTCAAATTATCTCTTATTTTTTCTTAAATAATATTTACATAATAAATTTACGTTAGAATAGTGTGTAATTATTCAAGAAAAAAAAAAAACAAAAAAAAAAGAAAAAACATATATGCGAACAAGTTCATCGATATATTTATATATAATTGAATTTTCAACAATTTTTATATTATCGTTTTTTACTTAAACGATCTATTAAAATTGCATCAAAATAATAGTTCTAATTTTGTCTATCTGTATATATATATATATACATATATTATATAATATTGCTCGCATATTTCACTTACATGTTCATTATAAATATCGTTTGCATTGTTTCGATTTGAAAATTTACAGATATACACACAGTAGCCTTTCTCGAAGGCAAATCATTCTGGAAAGTGCGGTCTCCTCTTGGTTTCCTCGAGAGTTCGTCTCAAACGTCGATGCAGCGACCGGATTGGAGAATAGAAGGAAGCCTTCGAGATGTTCGCGGACGAGGATATTCGAATGCATTGCGCGGGATGCTCGTAATTTCCCCAGGTAAGCTCCAGCAAATTAGCTCCGGGCATACGTTACCCTCGCCTTAGTCCTTCCTTTCCTACACCCATGTCCTTTACCCCTACCACGCACATACATACACATAGACACAGTCTCTTCTCTACTTCTCACCCCTTTCCCGTACTCTCTTTCCGAGGGCAGCTTTTCGAGAAAGGTAGAGATGGAAGAGAATGAGGAGAAAGAGGAGGAGGAGGAGGAGGAGAAGGTTGGAGCGGATAGGACACCGGCCTTCTAAATGTCTACGTTACTCTCCATCCCTCGTGTAGGTGAATTCGTTAGGAGGGGGAGGTGAGACGGGAGGGGCAAAGCTCAGCTACCGCCTTGGAAAAGCTCCAGGAGAAAAGAGAGATTCGAGCTTTGGTAAGAGGAAGAGGAGAAGATCAAATAGAGAGATAGAGAGAGAGAGAGAGAGAGAGAGAAAGACGAAGGGTCGAAGAACACCTTCGTGCTTTAGCAGTGAGAGAAAGAGAGAGAGAGAGAGAAAGAGGAGATACCTCTCGTTCCTGGAAGGCGTTACGAGAAAGCTCCGCCTGCAAGCTCATCGGTACACGCCCAGGGAGTGTAGCTTTGCCACCCACCAGGCGAACCTGGAAAACACTTTGGCTACTACCACGATAACGCTAACCCCCTCCATTTGGCTCTCTCTATCTCTTTCTCTCTCTCTCTCTCTCTCTCTTTCTCTTTCTGTATCGTCCTTTCTATCCCCGCTCGGTCAGCTTCCTCTTCTCCCTCCTCCTCTTTTCACTCCTTCACCATCCTCATCCACCTCCTCTTTCGAATCCTCCTTTCCCTCTCTCTCTCTTTCTCTCTCTCTCTCTCCTCTCTGTCTATCTCGTGACTTGGTAGGAGTCGCAAGTTCGAAGCGCTTTGCACACAGATTGCATCGGAGGCATCCGCGAATGCAATCGTTACCCCACTGTCGCCTTTCCTACCCCTTCTTACTCCTTCCTACCCTTCTCTCCTTCCTCTTCGTGGCTCCACCGACAGCTCCTCTTTACTATCATCCGCAAGCGGCTGGAGGCGCGCGTCCGTGTGAGTGGATTTGTCGAGCTGCTATGGCTGCATAGAGACCAGCAGTCTACCCTGAAACTTCCTTGCTCGCTTCGCTCGATCCTTTCCTTCGTACCTTCCTTACTGATCGAAGTTTCCATCTAAAACCCACCTTCGTGAACGTCGAACAACGTTGAAGCACGTGGACGCCTCCTCCTCTGAGAGATTTACACTTTGAGAATCTATGTCAGCTTCTTGGCTAACTTAACATTAATCATCTCCTTTCCGTCTTGATTTTCAATATATTTATTAGGATATATAAAACCAATGAAAATTATTAAAATATTCTATTGGTTCGTACGTCGGTAATAATTTTTTATTCATAATTAAAACGATCAAATTATATACATTTGATATTATTAATATCATCAATATATTCTATCAACATATTTTTCACTTTCAATGTCACGTTTTTACAATATCAAGTGAAATTATTTATCATCGTTAATCCATTCTCTTCCTTCAACTCTCATATATATTTTATTATATACTTATCTACGCACAAGATTAGTTATAATAATCGTTTGTGATAATGGTTTAAGGCAAATAAAAGAAGTAAATATTTACTATGAAATTACATGAGTTAGACGTTATTCGTAAATGTGACGAGGCTCTTATCTTAATACAAACTCGTTTGATATGTTCTTCTTAAAGATATAAGACAATGCGTGATCGCGATATAGGTGAGATTAAATTTTGGGCGCTGTCGTTGACATTGCCGTACACATTTTCCTTCGAAAATCGGATTTGATGAGTGTAAAACGTTGTAACGCTGAACAAAATCTTTAAGAGAATCCCGGATCCGTCGGGGTGAATCTGTTCAAGGGTGGAGCTCTTTGCAACATATCATTATTTCAAACGTAAAGGTAAATCTTGTGGAAACAAAAGATAAACTATAATAATAAACTTTATAATAACACTTATTTCATATAAATTTTGTATTTTGATAATCATTGAACCGATCAAGTATTATAAAATATGTACTTATTTATAGATTTCAAATTAATTTAATAGAATATTGTAATATATTAATATAATAATCGTATATATGAACAATAGAATTGTTAAATATTACAAATGATAAATAATATTACATTTAATTTTAATGCCATTTCGAACGATCTTCGATACTTGTATTTTAATTTTCTTATAATTTTGTAATTTCTATTAGATTTATAAATATGGAGAATAGATAGGAATTAAAATACATATATAGAAAATATTATAACGGGAAGGAAATTCATATGGCAAATGTCGTACTTAACACAAGAGGGATTTACTTTCGAATATTTAGCATTATCATCGGATTATCCGATTTAATAGTGTATGCTGCAATTAGTTGGTATTAAAATGACGATGTGATCTATAACTTTCTTTTTCAACTTCGAAATCGATGACATAGAAAGGACAAATGATTTATGTAATTTTTCTTTCTTCTTCTCTTTCTCTTTCTCTCTTTTTCTTTCTTTTTCCGTTTCCAACTCATATAACATCATTCGCTCGCATATATTCATAATTAAAAATGACGTGGACTCTCCTATCTCCCGGTGCATTAAATGTTAAATCGAATTAAGATAAGGCTATCCAACGGAAACCGGAAATGATAAACTACAATGTCATCGTCGGTATCTCACTTTGGTCCACGCATGATTAACTTCTAATGTGAAAGTATAGAAAATTAAAAAAGAAAGAAAGAAGTCTGTGATCGTAAAATAAAAAATTGAATAATTTTAAACATACCTAATAGTTCCCATATGCATATATATGTTTAATAAATATTATAAATGTTTGCAAAACGCATATGTTTTCTCTCTAACATATATAAGATCATTCTTTTGAACGTGGCCCGTGCGATAACATATTCAAATCCTATTGTAACTAATGCAAATATAGTTTTAAATAAACATGCAAATTTAACCTTGTTTTACGTAAAACCTCTTAACATATAAATCACATACATAATACATCTGCAATTTTGTAAATCCCTTTTGAAAATCATATTGGTATGATTAATAATAATTTTGAAAGAATAATAAAGTCTAGAGATTTATTTGTTTTCGTTTTTTGGGATATTGCAACGAAGAAAAAAGATAGATCGATTAAATTCAATGACGAAACATCAAATATATACACACAAATATATATATATATAAATTTATGGTGACCTATAAAATCTTTACATAAAACCGTATTCATGTTTACGTATATATTTAATTTAGTGTAGAAACGAAACAAAGAGGAACAAAATTCGAGCATAGCAAGGGAAACAGGCATATTGCGAAATGAAATTGAGAAGCACCGAAAATTCGTGGATATGGTGACCTAGAAATAATAAAGATTTTACTTACTCGGTATTTCATCGTGTAATGCCCCTAATTAATTCTCTACGATCGTAATCCGAAGCCAGAAAGCCACCAACTAAATACCCAACGACGCGTATTCATACACGCGTCTCTTTGATACGAATCATTTACGGTCTTTCGAACTTTGAACTCCATGTACGATCGATACAATCAAAATTTGTGATATATGATATAATATTAATATCATCTATGTTACATATATAATAATATATCCTGGATATATCAATGAATCGTTAATTCATTTATTTTATACTCTTTCTAATTATTTTCAATTTTAAATATATTTATAATATTACGATACGCGCAAAAGATTCATTATTAAACGTAATACTTAACAATAATAACAAGAGAAAAGAATCAAGAATAATTGATTATTTAAATAATATTTTAAACAGGTCATCGAATAAGACGAAAACAATAATCGATTAAAGAAGAGATCATAAATTTGATCGTTGCGCCTAAACACGGATGATCACGGACTCGAACTAAGAAGAAAGTGTTGCAGGTGCACAGGTGCACGAAGTAATAGTTCTACATCTTATCACTTGAGACACACCCCCCCGAGTAGAACGATCGAGAAAGATGGGGTACTTTCAATTCAAGAGAAAGGGAGACAGAGATAAGGAGTAGATTGGGTGCCGATAAGAGAATGAAAAAAAAAAGACAGTAATTAACGAGAAAAACAATAACGAATATATGACAAGAAAGTCTAAAGAATGTGGATAAAATATATGAAAAAAAGAGAAAAGAGAAAGATATATATCGAGGAGGAGAGAAAAAAGGAAAAAGAGAGAAAGAGAGAGACGATTATGGAGGGGTTGAAGTAAAAAACCAGTAAAGAAAAAGAAAGAGAGAGAGAGAGAGAGAGACAGAGAGAGAGAGAGAGAGATATAGTAAAGGCGCGAAGGAGAAGTAGCAGTAGTAACAGTAGCAGCAGCAGTAGCGCCGGTGGAACGGTGGTGGGGGTGAGCGCGACGGCGGGTAGGGTGTCGTAGGGGCAGAACCAGCGCCGCGACGCCTCGTCACGCACAGTCGCGGCTCGAACGCCGTTCGATGCGAACGTGTCGTTGTTACGGTCCGTCCTCGACCGCCCTCTCTGTCTACCTGTCTTTTTCTTTCACATTTTTTCTTTCTCTTTTTCTCTCTCTCTCTCTCTCTCTCTCTCTCTCTCTGTATCTCTTTCTTTCTCTCTCTCTCTCTCTCTTTCTTTCTCTCTCTTTCTCTCTCTCTCTCTTTCTCTTTCTCTTTCTCTTTGATTAACCTGTCTCATATCATCTTCCTTCTCTATCTCTATCTTTCTTCTTTTTTTCTCTCTTTTTATTCTATCCTAATCATCAACGAAGACTCTACGAGGGATTTGTATATACGAGAAAATAATAACAAACAACCATTGACAATCTTGACTACTTTTTTCTCGAAGTTGTTCATCGAACGAAATACTATCTATATATATATATATATATATATAGTATACATATAGATACAGATCGAAGGTGTGACTCGGATTAACGATCTTTCTTTCTTTCTTTTTTTTTTTTTTCGCGAGTGATTAGTGACTTTAGTTTTCATCGAGGATCCCAGTGCTCGCGTTTCGTTAACAACGTTTGCTTACCTCTTCTCATCCGAGAGAAAGAGAGACAGTTGCGTCGCGAGCACGTGTCTTCGTGTAATACATCCGAGAGTTTTTGTTATGGAGTATCTGGAATCAGAGATTCGTTCGTCTATTAAAATTTTTTTAACGAATTAAACACGATTTATCTTAGTACCGTGTAAGTCTTTCGAAATGATCAACGTGATAATGTGAATATATTTGACATATTTGAGATTCTTCATTTAGAAAGGATCATCTTGGATCATTCCTATTGATCTTTTCGAATTCGTGAAATAGAGAGAAGAAAGGAAGAAAATAATATATACAAGGAGAGAAAAGTTAGAGATAAGGAAAAAAAGAAGAAGAGAGAAAAAAAAAGGAAAGAAAAGAAAAGAAAAGAAAAGAAAAGAAAAAGATAATTATTAAAATCGAAAGAAAAAAAAAAACGGAGGTAAACAAACGAACGGGGAGTGCTGTGTCTGTCATAAATGGCGGTGACTCGCGAGCCCTGGAATGCTCGCTGAGAGCTTGTTCTTAGGAAGGGAATGGATTTTCAGAGCGCGATGGACACGTTCGTCGAGGCATGGATGGCTGCTAACACAAAAAACGATCAAGTACAGGTAAGTCTATTTTGTCGATCCTTATATCTTCTTTTTCTTCTTTTACCTGCTTCTTCTTCTTTTTCTTTCTTTCTTTTTTCTTTTCTTTTTTTTTCTTCTTCTCCTTTTCTTTTCCTTTTTCTTCTTTTAATATCTTTATACCGTAATAACTCAACATTTCAAGAGCAATACTCTCGATTTAATACATTCAACAAAAGTCGTAAACTTGCTTGTCTCGTAGAGATAACACGCTCATAAAGTTAACGCATTCATATATTCGAGGTTGAGTTAATCGAAAAGCAACCCCTTCCGACATTACACGGCCAATTGACCACCCCATTCAATCTCTACTACCCCTCTTCTCTGATCTCCTACTAAAACGTACTTCATTCCATTGCTCTCTCTTTCTCTTTCTCTCTCTCTCTCTCTCTCTCTCTCTTTCTGTTTTCAATATTCTTTAAACGAAAGAGTTTAATCATCCGAAAGAAAAAATAAATAAATAAACTATCAATGATTAAATTTTAATGATTAATTATAATGTTCTTTTTTTTTTTTTATTTTTGCGTCAATATAAACTTTTAGAAATTTCCACGAACTAACGTCTCTACATATATTTTACATTGTATAAAAGTTTTTTCATTCAACGTTCATTTTCGTTCATTTAATTTTCCAAAAATGCGTTCCTTTTTCTTCTTTTGTTTTTTTTTCTTTTTTCTTTTTTTTCTTTTTATACGAACACTCACAGTCAATGTTAAAGAAAATAAATAAATGTATATAGATATATACATACATGTATATATATATATATATATATGTATGTATGTATGTATGTTAATCCTTGATACGGTCTAAAATTTCACACTGAAAACAAAGCTCGAGGCAGGCACTGGTCGAGAGTGAGGGGAGTGATAGGGGGAAAAGAGGGCTGGAAGATAATCCTTGGTAAAGCCGTGCCTCTCGAATGTATTGCGTGGATGAAAGTACGGAACGTTTACACGTGTACGTAGCCGGGGGGTCACGGATTCTGACCACGATACGGATGTGCCCCTGCCTTCTTCCTGTGCCATGATCATGTTCGTGTTCTGGCATTCGGTGCAATAAGACCGCATTTCCATTGACCACTACGATCTCTAGCACGTTGATCGTCACCGTATTGTAACTACGTTTCAATTCGATCAAATATATTTTAATGAGAGACTTAACACGAAAAGTTAGTTTGTTGATCATTGATCATTCGATTTCGTTGGATCGTCTTATCTCGAAAGATTTATGCGTACTTATGTACGTACACACATACTCAGAGATATGATCGAGAATGATTTGAATATTTTTGTAAGTATCGACTTTCATATTTCGTAATAACCAGTACAATGAAATGCGATAACGGTGAATAAAAAGAATAAAAAGAAAAAAAGAAAAAAGAAAAAAAAGGAAAAAAAAAAATTAAATTAAATTCATCCACATATATGAACATTGCGGAATCATTTACTAAAATATAAAGATATATTTTTAAATCTTCTTTCAACCTTTTTTTTCTTTTCTTCTTTCTTCTTTTTTTTTTCTACACTAATTAACTATAAAAAGAACGATGGTTAATAAGAATACGTTGAGTTTTAATATGAGTTTTATATGAGATGTTTGGTTTAATCATATCGTTTGATCGGAGAGGAAGACTTAATTAATTAGGAAAAGAAAGAAAAAAAAAAAGAAGAAGCTTTAATCAGTACGTACAAAAGCATTTAATTTATATTCCAATAAATATATTTTTCGTTGTTTTTCTTTACCCTTCTTTCGTATCTATCCCTACTTATATATCCTCTTCAACAACTTTTATCCAAATTTATTAATTTCATACGAGCCACAAAACATACTCGTAGATTTCTTTGTTCGAATCCTCGACCGAGAGTCGTAACGAGGATAGAAATCATCGTGCTAGAAACGTTACGTCGAGACGAAAAAGGTTAATGGGTTAAATATCGCATAGTGTTGTAAGATTTTACTGGCATTACCATCCGCAAATTCTGGAAAGCCGTAAGCTTCACGAGTAGCAGCATGGATTTGCGAGAGATACTATCTCATTTCTGTTAGTATGAGAAAAAGAGAGAGAGAGAGAAAGAGAGAGAAAGAGAGAGAAAGAGAGAGAGAGAGAGAGAGAATTAATCCCATAATGCTGTTAGTTCATTAACAAGAAGACACCGGTTGGGAGATATACTTCGAGAAAAGAAATACAAAGAAGAGGAAAAAATAAAAGAGTAAAAAAAAAAAGAAAGCAAACATCCAAAAATCATTCTTCCTCTTTTTTTTACGTCCCATGCGACGTGTCATCTAAGAGAACGGTATTCTATTTAATAAAAAAAAAAAAAAAATCTATAAGGACAATGCTTCTGGCCAAGCCCGAGACAACGGCTTTTGTGCGTACTCGACGTTTACCGGTACGCCTCGCGATACGGCTTCCTCCTACGACGAATCGTCCCATCTCTTCGTCTTTCAGATATTTCATTTCCGCTGGGAAAAAAAAATTCGGAATGGTTACGTGTCAGCAAAGAGCCCTAAGCCCTTTTTTATCCCGAATTTTAACGAATCCAATAATATAGGTAGAATATTTCAATGTCCTTTCTTCTTTTTCTTTTTTTTTTTCTTCTTTTAGATAAACACGATACGTGTGAAAATTTCGAAGTAACATGATTTATTAATTGATTTATTATAAAGTATGAGTAGATACATACATAATATCGATAACTCTGACGTAAAATATTAAAATATATAATCCTATTTTTGGATATAAACTTGACTAAAGTCGATTTAATATCATTCAAAAGTAAATTCTTAAATGAAATTCATAGAAACGAACCATTTCTTCGATGATGCAATTAAAGCTTAGAATTCTATAGATATATAAATATCAAAGGGCAAAGGATAACTTTTGAACGATGTTGTACCATCCGAAAGCGTCCACACCCTTCAGATATTTCTTTTTTTTTCTTTTTTTTCTTTCAGATATATCCGTGAATTTGTTTCGGTACAATAATACTTTATTATGCACTTTCTATCTTATATATATATTCTCTTTGACATTTTCGAATTACTGTATATTATCGAATATTAATTTGATATATTGATGAATGGAAATAAAATCGATCTTTAACGTTAAGATTTATTATATTATAAAACGTCATAGGAAAATGAAGAAAGAGAGAGAGAGAGAGAGAGAGAGAGAGAGAGAGAGAGAGAATGAGAGAGAGATAGATAGAGAGAGATTATAAAAAGTACTGTTTTGTATTTTTTTGCTTTTTTTTTCTTCTTGAAATAAAGAGAGAAAGAGATAAATAGAGAGAGATAGAGATAGAGAGAGAGAGAGAAACAGTCATATCAATTTGTCGATTCATCTTTGGGATACTTCGCGATCACTGTTCGGAGGACGTTTGTTCGAGGACGTTGCGCGAAGGATTTCGAAGAAAGACGAGGCGTGCTTGGAAGTTCGTGAAACTGTGCGCGTCTATACGGCAAAATACGTCGTGTGTGCGTTGGATACGTGGGTAGGATACGATGCACGCATGGTCACGGTATTTGACCACCCCAGGCTCCCGGAATTATCGTGATCCATCTATCCGGCCTACGGAGTCGATACGTCAAACGTCGACTAAAGCGGATAGAGAGAAAACAGAGACAGAGAGAGAGAGAGAGAGAGAGAGAGAGAGAGAAAACAAAGAGAGAGAGAGAGAAAGAGAGAGAGAACAGAGAGAGAGAGAGAGAGAGAGAGAGAGAGAATGAAACCTTTTCTGCTTTTAGATCTAATAGATTTTTAAATTAACAGACTTTACCAGTTATTCATGATATGTGTGTTACATAATCAATGTAAATAAGATATGTAAATAAGACATGTAAATAAGATCTGTCAAACAGGTTCAACAATGTCGAAATATAAGAAGACCAATGAAATTTATTATGAATTATTTCTTGCATAAAAATTTGTTATTATCTTTCTAAAGTCATTTTAATAATAAGGGACCTATGATAGCAATGGAATGTGATTAAAATATAATACATAGAAACTAATGAGATTAAAACAAATTCAGAGAGTTAGATTAATCGATTATATATTATGTGATTAAAGCTAAATAAAAGATGTATTGTGTAGTTATGAAAGGAAATGAAAAAATGAAAAAGGAATCTGATCGGAGTTAATAATTGATTACTTGATATTCCATTAAAAAAAAAAAAAAAAAAAAGAAGAAGAGGAAAAATAAAAGGAAAAAAGAAAAAAAAAACGATTTCCCCTTTTTCTCATCGTATAATTTATATTCTCAAATGAACATCTGTTACGTTTGACGAAGCATGAACTCTATACGACAACGACGACGACGACAACGACAACGACAATGATTTATGTAACATGATAGCATCGATCTGCGGATTATCTCGTACAAAGGGGAGAGGGGGGCCAATTATCGTTCGTGGATATCGACTATCCGATATTTCGATAAGCCCGATTAGACTGTTCCACGATTAGCATGCGACGGGCCATGACAACCGTTTAATTCCACTATCTCTCTCTCTCTCTCTCTCTCTCTCTCTCTCTCTCTCTCTCTCTCTCTCTCTCTCTCTTTCCCTTTCTCTCTTTCTCTCTTTCTCATGTCGATGATAATCGACCGATTAAAAAACGTCCAAAAAGTCAAGACGCTTTCGGATCATTTCTTGCTTCTGTGACATTTCTTATAATATTTGCTTTCTTTATCGATGAAAGCTTCTCCTTTACGTTCTAAATATGGACGCAAAAACGATTATTCATTTCCTCTTTCTCATCCCTTGGTTCTATCATCATATCTTATTAGATTGAACTCCTCAGAAATTGTAATTCTATTATAATAGTAAATGGGTTATGACATATGATATTTCGTTAATTATTTAACTCTCAAGTAGTTTTACAATGAACTAAAAAGGACTTTGATAACATTTTATTAAAATAATATTAATAATAAATCTAATTCTCTATTTTGTGGTAAATCCCATGGTAGAGAAATTTCGCTGTTGTCTATCGACGATGTTAAGAACTGTGGTAGGAACTAACAGCGAGTATAACGATTAAGGTTATCGCCTTAACGGGAAGCGAACAAGCAGGAAACATCGTCGGCACGTATCTCCCTTTTCGCGAGATAAAAGGATCCATCGATGAACCTCAACGATGACCCAGGACCCATTGAATATCTTCTCTATCGTACGATTTTTCATTTTTCTTTTAGTCTTTTTCTCTCTTTTTGTTTCTTTCTTTTTTTCTTTTTTTTTTTTTTCTTCTTATTTCAGTTCAACGTGAACGATAAGAAAACGAGAATGAGTATACATTATATGAGTTATATCAGGGACCATATATATATATATATATATATAACGAATATAAAGATTCAAGGAAGATTTAAAATTGCGATGTCATTAATCATCTTTCATAATACCTATATAGAAAATTTATAACAATCACAAACAAAGCATTGCGTATTGTTTCACAAAAGTATATTATTTATGAAGTGATAAACGATCAAAAGTGTTATAGTCTTAATTATAAAAAAAAAAAAAAAAGAAAAGAAAAAAAAAGTAAAAAAAAGGAAAAGGAAAAAAATGAAAAGAAAAGATTCATCGTATAAAAGAAAGAAAAGTATAGAGGGGAAAAAAATTATTTGTCGTACGACTAACTTCAAAATCTTAGATTACAAAAATGAATTTCATTTTAACTTGTCGAGAATGAGTAAATTGGTTATAAGAAATATGAAACGTAATACGTAAGTGTTAAGAGGTAGGTGAGATTTTACGAAATTGAAAAAGCGACAGAAAAAGATGAAGAGAGAGTGTGCGTGAGAAAGAGAGAGAAAGAGAGAGAAAGAGAGAGAGAGAGAGAGAGAGAGAGAGAGAGGTAGGAAGAAGAAGAGAGAAAGGAAGAAAGGGAGAGAGAGAGAGAGAGAGAGAGAGAAGAATGGAACATGAAAGTTAGTAGGGAAAAAAGGAAAAGGGTGGTAAAAGGAGTCAAAAGGGGAAGAAGGCAGAGAGGAGAAGGTTGCCGGAATCCGAGTAGGGAGTCGAAGCGAGGGCGACATCCTCCCCGTGAGTCACTACGTCGTTACACGGCGATGCCGGTCGGGGCGTTAGCCGGATAAGCCGCTAACCCCATCCACCTGTTGCCCCTTCTTACGGGCTGCCGCGTTCGGAAGTTCGCCGTTCGTCCTCGTTCTTCGTCGAAACGAGCCATGTTTGGAAAGAGAAAGAGAGAGATGGAGATAAAGAGTGTTCATAAAAGAGAAAGAAAGAAAGGGAGAAAGAAAGAAAGAGAAAGAAAGATGAAAGACAAAGATAAAGAATATTTGTTAACGTAAGAAAGAGAAAGAGATAGAGAAAAAGACAAGGATAGAGAATGTTCGTAAAAATAAAAGAGAAAGAGAGAGAGAGAGAGAGAGAGAAATAATGTTCATAAAAGTAAGAAAGAGAAAGAATGTATATATGTGTATGTATGTGTATATATGTCTGTAAAAGAGAGATGGAAGTATAGGGCCCCCTCGTTGCCCTTCCACCCTCCTCGGAGCTCTTGGCAAGGCCCCGACTCTTCTTCCCATCCTCCTCCCTTTCGAAGTCGACTCTTCAGCGGTCTGACGTGTTTTTTGCAAGTGCATACCTCCGAGCAGCTCCCGAAACAGTAGCCGGTACCCCGGTACAGTCCGGGCAAGTGAAAAAATCTCTTGGGCATCGCTACCGGTTCCTAGGCTAATCGAGCCCCTCGACAACCTTGCGCTCTTTTCTTTGAGCTATTACTACCACAAGACATTTCTCTTGGTAAAAGTTAAAAAAAAAAAAAAGGAATTAAATGAAATAGAATATGATATTTCTTTTTGAGCGAATTTAAAAAGACGATTCATTGATATGATGATTATTTGTTTGAAAGTATCGTGATAGATCTCGATAGAACTATATCGATATATTTTGTTTGATTTTATTGTATAAGCACGATATTAATCGAGATAAAAAAGAGTAATGTATTTCTTCCATTCTTTATATATTTATTTATTATAATAGAAATAAATAAAGATAATGAAATTTTGATCGAAAATATTTAACATATTAATTTCATATTTTGTCGTGAAATATATTTATGTAAGTACATTCATATTAGTATTAAAATAATAATAGAATATGATAAAAGAATCGATATATATATTTAGGATTTAATCTAAAGCTAAAAGTTCTCCTCCCTTATGTTAGTCTGAAAGAATTACTCGAATGAAAGAGTGTGTGTCCGTATGTGTGTGTGTGTGTGTGAGAGAGAGAGAGAGAGAGAGACGAAGATAGAGAGACGAAGTGACGGTAATGCAAATAGGCGGCACGACAATGGCGCGTTAACACGGAATTAGAAAGGATGACAGAGGGTTAAACGTTCCTCTCGTTTCTGGCTCATTCGCGCTCTCGGATTCCTCGGAGGCGTCATCGACGATCCAGTTCTCGTGCTGGCGAAAACGAACGGTCGTCGGTGCATTTCGCACTTCGTGCCTGCCGGCGCGGCGCTGCCACGGTGTAAGATCGTCGCATTCTGGGCCCAGTTGACCCTCGTTGACATCATGGACGGCTTAGCCGTTAGTGTTAAGTTCAGTTCACTCATACATAAATCTAAGTCCGTGGCGCGCTTATGCCTTAGCAGACCGCCACGTCGGAATTGAGCACGTGCTCAGATTTCATCGGCGACGACGCTTAGATCATCCGGCGTTCTCTTCGATCCAGCACCGAAATCTTCCGCCGCGAGGTTCCTTCAATTGGAATTGGTAGGATGAAATTAGAAAAGAAAAAAAAAAAGAAAAAAAGAAAAAAGAGAAGAAAGCAACCAAAGAAAGAAACATTTCGATGACTCATAAGTTGGATCGTTGAATGTTAAAATATATGCGACAAATGTTTGATCGATTAATTACATTTTTTTCTTCTTGTCTTTATCATCATCTTTAAAGAATCCTATTAAGATATTTTAAATATTATGTAAATTAAATATATGGGATCAAAAAGAATTATATATATATATGAAATTGGACATGCCTAAGTTTTTGCTCAGAGTTTTATGAATTTATTCTAATATTTGGAATTTGCGTTTTTCAGAGTCAAGCGTTGGCATTGACGCATAAGACGTCGCCACCTTCGAGACCTAGTAGTGTCTCGTCCTTACCAAGGAGTCCGCAGTCTCATCAGTCTCAACAGTCGCAGCAACAGAGCACCCCTCAACCCCCGCCGAGCACGCATCCTCACCAGTCGCAGACTCCCCTTGGCGCGTCCTCCCATCAAACACCGTTCTCTGCTCACAATCAGCATCCAAAGCAAGAAATTGTTGCGAGCCCGAAACAAGAAGGCTTTGACCTTAGCAAGTCAGCCTCCAGCACCGGTGAGTGTATTTTGAATTATTCAGAAACGTTCAAATTTTCACTACAATTACGATTTTTATTGGAATTTATTTATTCAAATTTTACGATCGGTATGACAATGATGATAAAATAAATCATTTAATTCTTATTTCCGTTGACATATCTAGGATTAAAATAATTATCAAGAGATTAATGATAATTATAGTAATTTGGACGTCTTTTGGACTTTAGATCTTCCAGCAATATACCTATCTTCCTTTCTTCCTACTTTTCTCTCTTTCTCTCTTTTTCTCTTGATGTCTTATTACCTGCGTTATCCTCGTACACTCCATTACACTCAGAGTTTCGGCCGACTGAACAACAAGTCGAACGTGGGACTCTAGTGGCCGTAAATTTTAGCTCGAATTAAGTCACCTTTTCGAGGACAGGACCGTGTGAAAATCAGTTCTCGTCGAGTTTGCGAAATGCAATTCGGATTATCATACTTATACCATAAATGCATGAAAGGAGTAAAAGCGTATTTTAATGGTTGGATATAAAATAAGATATCAGATAAAGATAATGGATCATTCGGTAATGTATTATCTCACGTTATTCCATAAGTTGCCTCGAGTTTAATAAAATATGTATATATATACATATATATATATGTGTATGTGTGTGTGTTTATAGATATGTAGGAGTATATATAAATCGTTCAATCAAGATTTTTATACTATTTAATTGTCATATTCATATTATTTAAATATCATTTACAAAAATAAAAATTAATGACATTAGAACAATGTTCCTTAATTTGTCATTTTCTAATGTTCCAATTTAGAAAATTGATGTTTCTATAAATGAGCTGAATTTAATTGAAAAATCGATCAGTTTGAATCGTATACGTTTAGAAATCATCTTGACTCTTTGAATGTCGCTCGTCGAATACTTCTATCGAGAATGATGAAGACGCATGAACATGGCCTCTCGCCGGAGGCCGTTAAAGCTCGTAAACGAGATAGACTATCAACGGAATTTCCTTGATCCTCGATAATGCTGTGGAAACAATTTGCGCGCGTCCGTTTGCCGAGAGGAACGGGAATCGTGCGAGTACCGAACAGAAATGTATGGGTCTCTGACGATTGAGTCGCTTAAATGCGTGAGTGTTCGTCGCATTCTTTTGAAATTTTATCGAAATAACAGAACTATAGAGCAAAAATTCCACTATTGAACTATTTGGCAAAATCCTTATTACTTTATGATAACACGAAAATATAATATAATAGAATATAAATGATGAATATTCTTTTATCGATATTTAATAGAAAAAATTTGTAAGAAAAAGAAAAAAAAAAAGAAAAGAACAAAAAAGAAAAAAAAAAAAAAGAAAATAATAATTTCGTCGATTTTCTTTTATAATTTTATTTTTACGATTCTTTTTTTTTTTTATTTGAATCGATTTATTTCAATCTCATCTAATGTTATCTCTTAGAGAACTTTCGTACCAAAACTTTATTTTACGCTAAAGTAAATAAAATATCTATTATCGAATGGACTCGATAGAAAATGATATTATGACAAAGGACAAAGGAAAGGTCAAAGGATTCTCATCGATCTTCTTAGCGAAAGAACAGTTTTTCGCTTCGAATCGAGACACCGGTCACCGGATTAGAAAAAGTTAGGATCGTGAAGTTGGCCGGATTACGGGGAACGCTTTCGTTCATCGACGCTGTGTCAGCCGGTTCGAAGGCCAAAAAAGAAGAAGAGATGTAGAAGAAGAAGGGAGTCGATGTAGGGACGAAAAGTACATATTTGACTTTCGAACCCTTCGTTCACCCTAACTATCCAGCTACGAAGGTTAAGAAGGAAAAGACACGCACTTCCTAAATCTACGGATTCTCGTAGATTCAACCTTAAATCTCGAAGCGTCGTAGCTAATCCTCTTCCACCCTTTCACCCTCTCCTCTTATCCCCTTTTTTACATCAATTCCTTTCTCACGTTATCTCCCTGTTATCTTCTTCTCCATTCTCTTTCTCCTTCTTCTCTTCCTCCTCTTCCTCCTTCTCCTCCTGTTCATTCTTTTATGCACGCTGATTCCATCGAAAAAGACAGAAAAACTTCGAGCTCGAGTCTCGATCGCCTTGAATGTCCTTGACCATTCACGGCGAATCGAATCAATCGGTATATCGTAATGAAACGGCGAGGAGAGAATGAATTGAGTTTATGAAATGATTAAAATGATGATGGAGAGAAAGGAAAGAGACAGAGAGAGAGAGAGAGAGAGAGAGAGAGATGGACGGAGATAGATCAGAGAGACAGAAAAAAAGAAAAAAGAGAAAGAGAAATATATACGTACATATATTGATTTTCAGAACAGCATATTGGAAATAATGAACAGGATAATAGAAAATCAATCGGATATATTCTTTATGATTTTTGGTTGCATTAATTCCAGTTAAATTCAAATGGATCCACGCTAAAAACGATTATCGATGATAATAGCGACCGAGAGGATATCTTTATTACGAAATCATTCGAATTTGTCCAAACATGTGTGCGTCTAATTGTCTAATTCTCTATAAGTATTATTCATTTTATCATGTTCACATTTGATATATAATATTAAATTATTCTGATATATTTTTTACGTTATATAAAAATTCCAATACTGATTTTAAAAACACCCTGTATAAAACACACACACACACACACAAATACACACACATGCGCATACATATTGACACACGCGTATCGAGAATAGGAGCGGGGAAAACGTCTTCCTTTCTTCTGGCATGGTTATCCGACCGTTTGGAATTAGGATAATCGTGCGCGCGTATTTCATTCGGATTTACCTGTTCACGTATATGTGCAATGTGTGTATTAGTGTGCACATGTGTGTACACATATGTATATGTATGTGTATATATATATATATATATATATATATATATATATATAAGTATATACGTGCGTGAAGTTAAAACGAAGGGGAAGCAGTGGCACACGGTGCTTCGAGGGACTTTGAAGAAGAGAGAGAAAGAGAAAGAGAGAGAAAGAGAGAGAGAGAGAGAGAGAGAGAGAGAGAAAAGGACGAAGAGGAGGATATTGTGACCCTTACGAACTAATCCGGATTAAATTCGAATCCCCGGCTATGCGGCTAGGCGAGCTGCGAACACGCAGCCACGAAGCGCCATCGTCTTGCGCCATACGATCGTTCTCGTTACGCCATTTAACCCTCGCGAGAGATCGGCTTCTGGCTTTCGAGACGACCTTCAAGGAAGAACGACTCTCTATCTCTATCTCTTTCTTTCAAATATTTTCTCTCTCTCTCTCTCTCTCTTTCTCTCTCTTTCTCTCTCTTTCTCTCTCTCTCTCTCTTTTCTTCTCTCCTTTTATTTTCTCTTTCTTCGTACATCTTCGTTTTATCTCTATTTATTAGCTTTATTTATCCCCCTTCTACATGGTGTCTCAAAATTATCCAATAAAATCTCTCTGATTTATATTTTACTTAAGCATAAGAAAAGAAGAAAAAATTATAAAAATGTTTTAGATTTATAAAAGTCGTTCGAAACTTTATATCTTGTATCATGTACTTTATATTATAATGGACAGATGACCTTCTAGATTATTTGACACCGATTGAGATAAGGATTCGAATAGTATCTCGTTAGTACTGTTCATCCTTTTATATTTGATCTGCCCACTGGCAGGTGCGAGACAGCAATGTATTGTCGCGAGAAACGCGTGCCTCGCGTTTCATACGTTGTACAATAGACATAGATAGAATGTGATAGAGAGAGAGAGAGAGAGAGAGAGAGAGACTCGGTCCAGCGTCTCCAGTACAAGATCGATCGCCATTTAAAGCCCGTGCTTCGTCGTGGTCTTCGAGCGTGATTAACGACGCTCGGTTAACCCTTAATCGATCTATGCGTATTCTAGGATACATCGACTTACGGCCAGCATTACAGAATCCGATCGGTCCATGTCGTTAACGAGTTCGTGCCGATTGTCCATAACGCATGAGATATAGATATAGATACAGATATATATATACATATATATATATATATATATATATATATATATACATTTATACATATATACATATATATATACATATATACATATATATATATTCACACATACACACACACACACACAGTCACATACATACATACAGACATACATATATACATATGTAGATATCCTCTTGAGATCTGTACGTGCATGTGTACAAAACAGGAAAATTTAGTTTAATATAAGTTTAAAAATTTTTTTACTTATCGTATCACGTCACCCGGTAGATAGATATACAACGATGTACTATAGCTTTCAAGCACAATACAAGTCAAATGCAAAATCGATAATCGTAACTCGCGATTTTGACCTAGGAGAGGAAGAGAAAATCGTATTGCTAACTTTCTTTTAACTTGGATGTCTCGCGAAGGAGAAGAATTAGATAGTAAATCTCAAAAAGACAGGCGGGCTAATCGTTAAAGGGGATCACAGAGTATCTAAAGTAAAAAAAAGTAATTTCTTCGCGAGTCGCTAAAATGAAATATTGAAATATTCGAATTTCCTTGAAAAAGATTTTTGATCGGTTACTCATTTACTCTTGTCGAGATAGCGAGTTAATAGAATTCTTTCATGCATCATAATGAAACATTAGTAGGTTAATATCAAAATAGAATTTATTTAATTGAAACATTAATCAAAAAAAAAAAGAAAAAGAAAAGAAAAGAAAGAAGAAAAAGAAATAAAAGAAACAAAAAGAAATAACAAAACAAGAAAAATTTCACATTTCACATTTATTTTTAATGTCAATTATTGAAACGACATTAATTAAAGAGACCCATCAATCATTTATTAGAAGAGAAATTCAGAGGAGTATACGTTTAATGACAAACAAATATTCGAAATATTTTTTAAACATTGACTGATCGATATGCTATTAACATATTCGATGATTTTTCAATAGAAACGTGTATTTTTTTTTAATCTCTGTCGCAATTTATTTCATTTCTATTCGGCACTACGCATAGAATATTGTATTCCTTTATAACGTAGTAATTTATAAATCTCTAAAACTCTTTATAATTAATATTCATCGTACACGTCATTTCTTCTTTATCGATGTGTTTCACGGTACACCCGTTATATGACCGGCCGCAATGCCGTGGAATACGCGGGATACGGCTAACGCGCGAGAGGTGGAAGAGGACGAAGTGAGGAGCGAGACGAGGAGAGAAGGGAAGAGGAGAGGAACGGTGACCGCGTGGAAAGGGCTGCGTAGGAGAGAAGGGTGTACATGAAGGGACGAAGAGAGAGAGCGAGAGAGAAAGAGAGAGAGAGAGAGAGAGAGAGAGAAGGACAGAAAGAGGTAGGGTTGGGAGGTGGATAGGGAGAAGGGGGGATGGTTAGGATTAGCTGAGTTGTGTGCGCTGGATTTCGGATTTGGACGACGGGCCACGCACACACGACCAATAATCCCGGATTAATCCTGGACTCGCGCACACACGCATTGAGAGAGAAAGAGAGAGAGAGAGAGAGAGAGAAAGAGAGAGAGAGAGAGAGAGAGAGTGCATGCGAACGGTGATGTAGGTGCAACGAGAGAAAAAGAGCCTGTGGAGGTTCGGAGTAGGATAAAGAGCACGTATAAATCGACGGATATACGTGCGCGAGCGCACGCTTATGTGTATGTGCATATGTGAGACAGGGAGAGAGAAAGAGAGAGAGAGAGAAAGAGATAGAGAGAATGAGTGAGTGAAAGAGTATATGTATATATTCGTTCATTTATTTATTCTTTTGTATGTATGGGAAATTCAATCGTAGGGATAACACGTCGATTGAATTATTCGGGAGGTCATGCGAGTTCCGTTCATCGAACAAAATGCAGAGTAGCTACTATCTGGGAATGTATTTTCGTTCATATGATTATTAGATCCCGTCGATTCGGCCGAGATATTTCATTCTCTATTATATACGTGAACGTCTAAAATACTGTTTGTTTTACCTGCATTGATTTATATTTGACTGTTTCGAGGGAGAGAAAAAAAAAAGAAGAAAAGGAAACAAAAATTACAAAAAAAAAAATCAAAAAAAACAAAAAAAAAAAAACAAAAAAGAAAAACAAAAAACAAAAAAGAAAAAACATAACTTGAAACGTAATTCATACGATACACATGTTAGACAGACGAATCCATAACGTAATCATACAAATAACACAAGTGTGAACATTTGGAACTTTTTGATCTTTATTTGATATGACGACTTTTTTTTCTCTGTCACATGCGTACCACACACGCAGCAGATACAGATAAATTTATACCAACGTAGAAAGGTTCAGAGCCATTCGACGTGGCACGATCGACATCGCACGTCATTCGAGGTAAAGTAAGAGGAGTTTCCATGTGGGTATATGTATGTATATGTGTATGGGAGCGCGCGCGCGCCCGCGCGTTTTATATATATATATATATATATATATGTGTGTGTGTGTGTGTATGGAGCCAACGAAGATTTGCTCGCACACACGAGATCAGGTGTGTTCACGAATACACGCATACATTTATACACATATATTACACACGTGCAGACGAGCCGGCTCTCCCAAAGATAATCCTCGCGAATATAGAGACCGGATAATCCCCGGAGAGGGCCGACTCTCTGTATACGATCGCGATTGTCCATATGTGTGTGTGTGTGTGTGTATGTGTATGTGTATACACCCGTCTATGTGACGCTCACTCATACGCCAAACGCGGATGATGGCTCCGTACAAAAGGGCGAGGGACGTGAACGGAGAGAGGGGTTGAGGGCCGGGAGGACTATGGCAGAGCACACAAGGTTTAGAGGCTAAGCGGCTCATCCCCCAGGAAGCTTTACATCCCGCCCTGATACGAACGGGAATTCTACGGACGATTCGAAAGATATTGCGTCTGTGTATACGATTCTGCGCACAAGCTACATTTCTCTCTCTCTCTCTCTCTCTCTCTCTCTTTCTCTATCTATCTATCTATCTCTCTATCCATCTCTCTCTCTCTCTCTCTCTCTCTCTCTATCTCTATCTATCTATCTTTTCTATTGTTTCTACATATCCCTTTAACATATCCCTTTCACATACACACATACACACACACACACGCGCGCGCGCACATACATACATATTTATATCTATATAGATACGTATGTTTTATATTTTTAGATAATTTTTGCATATCTCGTAATCTCTTTCTTTGAAATTATAGAAATCTGTACACTTTCATATTTGCTTCGACTTAATACTTTATTCATTTATTAATCTTATAATTACTTTAATTTCTAAGTAGTCTTTTCTTTTACTTTCTTTTTTTTTTCCTTTTGCTTTTTCCTTTTCTGTTCTTTTTTCTTTCCCCCCCATTTTTTTGACCCGCTTTTACGTCGAACATTAGCCTTTGAGTATTACATATAATTGCGGTCCATTTTTTCATTTCTTCGTTTCCTTTAATAATTCTAAAAGTTTTGCATCGGAGAAACAATTCCTAATGGAAACACTATTCTCGTTTAATTTTGAAAATTCATCTCTGCCAAATAAATGAACGAACGAATTTCTCTTGTTCAAGAATCTTTTATTAGAACAATTCAAAACTCGCAAATACTTCGCGAGAAGTATGATCTAATGAAAAATGATCCATCATCTGAAAGGAGATAATTCAGGATAAGAAAGAGAAAAAAAAGAGGAAAGAAATATAACTCGAAGGAAAGAACAGTGAGAAAGAGAAAGAAGAAAGTGGGATTGCGTATGTGAGCGATCTTAATTCTGGATTATACGATCCCAGATTCCTATAATCCTACCAGGCCGTCGTCCAAAAGGAATCCTGGGATTAGTATGAGAGAGAAAGAGATAGAAAGTCGAAAAGCAAGCCGACCGAACCTGACGATAAATCGCCGGATAGTATGACTTCGGACTTACCAATTTTAAATGCTCTTGCTATAACGTTTATAAAAAGTTTGACGATGTTTTGAGAAAGCAAAGAAGAAGAAGAAAAAAAAACAAGCACGCGCACACACACACGTGCGCTCGACCACGCGCACAAAGAAAAAGGCATGATTCGGAAACTTACCAATATAAGAGAATAAGTATATCCGAAGTTTGAAGGGCACAAAAGGTTTGTAGCTTTGAACTTCCAGGAATACTGAAACGAACGATTTGATTATTATTAATTAACATTAACAATAAATTGATAAAAATATTAGAAACGACATAATATTAATATATTTTAATAAATCATTAATACTAATGAATTATCAATTCATTCTAACTATTTATGTTATAAAATATTAAAAATATTGTTTAATGATTAATTTAATATCAAACGATATTTTGTGCTAATATCGATCGTTAAAATACTAAATCGTTGAATACTAAATAGTCGCAAATGTATATTAGAAAATACAGGATATTTCTGAGATATATATTTTTAATATGTTTTCAAAGGATAGTCCATATAATCAGTAATTAATCTATTAATAATTAATTTTTTATAGAAACAAAATATCGATACTTTGGTATTTTTAAGAGTACAACAATTGTCCAAAGTCACGAGAATAGCTTCCCATGAGAATATCGTTGCGAATTTCGAGTGTCAGGATAACAGAAGACTAAGGGGAGAACACGAGGAAGAGGACGACACGCGAAGGTCCTTTCCGCTATGATCGTGGTAGCCCCTTGTAGCCTGTTGCATTAACTGAGTAGTAGTGTTTGTGTGTATGAAAGAAAAAGAGAAAGAGAAAGAGAGAGAAAGAAGGAGTGGGATAGTGATTGAGTAGTGTTCAAGGACGCTCCGGAACGACAACACTGTCTAAAGTACACGTGAGAGATCTCGTGGGGATATATCGTTACGTTATCCTTTCAGCAAGAAGCACGGGATAAGGAATGGACGAGTAAATCAGGATCTCAGAAACTATGAAAGTAGAATCCTTGTGAATGTAGCAACAGCAGGATATAGAGGCCTGATCCTCTTGGATTTCCCAACTTCCCGATTTTCTCTTTGTCCTATAGGAATACTCATACTACACGTCCTTTAAACCATATCCTGCGTTCCTGATTCTTAAGGGTCATACGCTACCCTTTTTTACCTTGTCGAATTTAGTCTTCTATAGAATATCCCTCAGTTGTCGTAAATTTCTCCATATTGTTTTAATAATAGAATCAAATATATAAGATATAATAAGATAGATATGGTACAATTAGTAAAGATCATTATGAAATTGATTTGAGTTCAAAATATGGGAGAATTGAATTATAATTAGGAAAAAGAAAGAGAGAGAGAGAGAGAGAGAGAGAGAGAGAAAGAGAGAGAGAGAGAGAGAGAGAGAGAAAGAGAGAGAGAGGAAGAGAAAGTGTATGATTTAGGATTAGATAATTTTTATGATCTATCATAGTCATCAATAAAATTAATTATCATTAGTTCGATTAATATCTAAATATTTCAATATTTCTCATTTATACGTATATTAGAAAATATTTATTAAATATTAAATAAAATATTTGCCACGATTATTAACATAAGTTTTAATTTATGTATATACGTATCTATCGATCGTGTAATTCGATTATTTTTTATCGTGTCAACATAAATTTTAAATGACCGGAAATTTCTTTGATCCTTTTACGTTCCGGCGATTTCGAAGAATCTCAATTTTGCTTACGAGCAAACGATCATTTAATTCCTACGGCAATCGAATTTTATATCGAAGGGAATACACGTTTTCGTACGAGAGGAGATAGTAGTCCGTTTTGAAAATTAATTTTCGGGTAATACATAGGGCCGAGACCAGTTCCATAATACATATTTTAATAATTTTTATCCGGCTTACAAGTTCTCCTCATTTAAATGTAGAGAGTTTATCGTTGCGATGCCTCGCGATTCTATAAGAGCTTTAAAATAAAATCGATAAACGGACGCGTATAATGACGGCGATAACGATAATAGAATGTCGATATATATATATATATATATATGTGTGTGTGTGTGTGTGTGTGTGTGTGTGTATGTGTGTGTGTGTGTATTTGTGTGTGTGTATATGTGTGTATGTGTGTGTATGCATATACGTAGATACATATATATACGTATACGTACTTATGTAGGTACGCATTACGTGAAAATTATTTTAAATTACATTACTTTTCGGCGTATTAATTTCTTCGCCAGCTCGCTACACGGGATTACCCGTTAATCATGTTACAATCGGCTTAATCGCGTCAATATTATAATAGTAGCGTTTCGTTGTAAAATCGAAATCATTTCGATCATGGACACGGATCTATCGATCAAAATATGTATGTATATATATATATATATATATATATATGTATCTATACATATGTGTGTACATATATATATATATATATATATATATATATATATATATAGAAACATATCGGATACAATAAAAAAGAATGTAGGTACTTATTATTTTATTAAACAAATTCGACAATCTAAAGGTTTAACGATAAACAGAAAATTCTCACATGCTCACCTCTCATTTCTCTCTAAAACAAATATCCAACTCGATTACACAATTACCTTGGAGCATTGAAAACCCTTCCTTTCTCTCTCTCTCTCTCTTTCTCTCCCTCCCTCCCTTCTCTCTCTCTCTCTCGCCCTACTCTCCATAGTCCGTCTCACAATAAGCCATATCGATAAACTCGACACAGCGCGTGCCTTTAACGAGTTCGTCGCATGGTAATGGTACTGGATCGATGTCCAGCAATTTGTAGGCCTAACAGACTATTCCGTTACCAGGAGTGTATGTCTTTGAAGGAAGTTATTCGAGGAGATCCTTTGGAAGGAGCATCAAAGCTCTCCTGTCTGTCCTATTACTGTTGGATTCGAGTGTGTTGTATGTTAGTAATAGATAGACTACGTTGCTCGTGTGAAGAGATGGGAGGGTGCCAATAGGACGAGAAGAAATATTTTTGTAGGACTAAAAATATGCAAATGCAGTCCTTTGTTCGATACCTGCCGGCTTATCTTTACGAATGGGATAACAGGAAAGAGTAGAAGGATACTTGGCATATACTTCGCGGACCCTCGAAATGCCCCGTGACCCAAATAAGGGCTTTTGTAGGACCCCGGTGATCAGGAGAACAGGATCGTAGGACGAAAGGTTATCCTTACGCACTTATATAGTGTAGGTATAGGCATACGCACCCTTTCTTGTCCTCTCTCTCTCTCTCTCTCTCTCTTTCTCTCTCTCCCTCTCTCTCTTTGTCTCTCTCTCTCTCTGTCTCTTTCTCTCTCTTTCTCTATCTATCTTTCTCTTCCTCCCTCTCTTTCTCCTCCCTTCCTACCTTCTCTATCCTCTTCTCTCCACCAGTTTGCCCTTCCCAACGAACGTTCCTCGTTCGTCTCCCGAAGGACATCGGCCCTGACCCGACCAGGAATCCTGTTTGATGTCTATGCTTCCCTGCTAGTTGTTTACGCATGGAAGCGGTAAAAAAATTCCCATAACTGCATTCCCCCGTCAAGAGGATCCGAGAAGTGGGGATAGTACGTAAGAATTCATTTGGAATTTCCTATGGAATTCTCATGTAGGACGCCTTTTTTTTATTTCTTTTTTTTTTCTTTTTTTCATTTCACGGACTAATTTAAGATCATCACTTAATTATTTGAAACTTTCCTAATTCTTTTTTTTTTTTTTCCCCCAGATAATATATAATTGATAATCTGATATCTGAGAATTCGATATACTTATTGGAAAATTATTTTGTTATCTTCTAATAAGCTGAATGAACTTGTAATGATAAATAATTTTGTATTTCAGTTTGTATTTGATAAGGTAAATTTTAGTATCGTTCTTGAATTGAAAGCAAAATACAGGATATTATACGTTTTTGAACGTTTCATCATATTATTATAGTTCTTTGATCTTCGTTAAATTGACAATTTTTTTTTTGTCTCATATTTATTTCTTTCATAAGCTTTACGTTAGTGGCACGATCGATCTAGCTTATCGTCGATATATATATATATATATATATATATATATATATATATATATAAATTCAAATATCAAAAATATCAAATCTCTTTGGTATCGTATATTGAATTTATTTATAACAAATTTGAATTTATCCATAGATATCTATGTTGTTTTAATTATTATGAAACATTATTAAATGAAATTATTGTTTTTGTTGACTTACGTATTGACAAAATTTTGTTTTTTTTGCTCGGTCATTCTTTATTAATGACAAAATTATTATCATTATCGATCACAAATAAATTTTATGATCGATTAAAAGACAACAACGACGATAAAGTCGATCGATGGCTTTTAAATAATCATCATAGCTTTATCGGCTTTTGGACGTTTTGGCATCAAATTAATTATCATGTTCCCATCTTTCCACCTACTTCCGGACTAGGTAATCTCCTCGATTATATAATCCAGCCATTTAGGACTTAGACTCAGTAATCCTCGTAGCGCCATCGCCAAACAAAACGTCAGGGTTACGTAATCTTTGAAGATTGCTTGATCCAGGATTACGTTGGAAACAGCTTCGACGTTGCAAGAACATCTTTCTTTCTTTCTTTCTTTCTTTCTTTTTTTTTCGTTTCTTTTTCTTTTTTTTTTCTCCTTATATTTCTTCTTCTTTACTTCCCAATGAGAAAAGAAACTTACGAAACATTATTAGACTTTAAACTTAGGATTATATCGAAAAGCAAATAGAAATTGATTTATAAATTTTTTTTAAGAATAATCAACATAAATGTTACGTAAAATATGACACACTATTTCAAGTAATTATATTAATAATCTATAAACCAAAAAATATCAATGCATGCTTCTGTAATCGTAGACAGTAGGCCCCAATAATTGTCCTTAAGAATAAAAAAAAAAAAAAAAGAAAAAGAAAAGGAATGGAAGGATCAAATCCCTTCCATTCGTATTCACGACAAAATATGCTCCTTACCTAAACGTTAACGTGTTCTCCTGATACCATTGTAAGTATCCTTGTCAGATATTTTTATAAAGAGAATCCAAGTGTAAGTCGCCAATGTCATATCTATTTATTGTATTTTACGGGACGTCAAATGAAACGATAAATGAAAAAGAAAAAAAACAACAACAACAACAAGAAAAAAAAAAAAATATATATATATATATATATATATATATATATATATATATATATATATATATAAAGAAAAAGAAAAAAGAAAGAAATACAAAAGAAAAAGAGGAGAAGGATGGATGAATGCATTTATTGGATGAATCCACTTGGTGGATAATGATTCGAAGAGAAACGTGGTATATACTCTTCGGCTCTTCTGAAAACCTCGGACAATATCATACCTCCAACTCCAAAAATGCAACCCTGATCATTAACAGGGGTATGAGGGTGAACTTGCAAACCCATGTTGATTGTACTGACTATTTGACTTTGGTGTAGCGAGGTCAAATCAGCAACGTCAATGATGGTGTCTACTTGCCAACACAGGAAGATGTTCTCCTAGTTGCTGAGTAAACAATGCTCGTCTACCGTCGTCAAAGGATCCTTCTCTTCTTCTAACTCAGCAACGCGTGCGTGTCAATTCCTTTATATATATAAATTTGCATATTTTCTTTATTTATTTATTTCTTCTTTTTCTTTTTTTCCTTTCCATTCGCTAAACATTTGTATATCGTTATTCTTGTATCAATTATAAACGAATATTTCAGCATTTTGATTTACAATTGTTAGTTTTTTTTTTTTTTTGTTATTTGTCTAATCCTCTGATAACAATTTTTAAATACCTTTTTCTTTTTTTTTTTTGTTCTACATTTTTATTACTAAATTGTATAATGTCAATGAAATTCCAACTTCCTTCGGCGTATAATTCAGATATATGGTAAATATAATATACATTTAAGAGATATAACGATATGGGTCAAAAAGTGATCCGTTCATCAAAATTAACACTTATAGCAGGTCTATTACTCTTTGAGTATGAGAGAGAGAGAGAGAGATATAGATAGAGATAGAGATCCATATGCACACATGGAAGGGTATTACAAATTTAATTAATTCTATTATCCATTCTATGGCGATTGGTCTATTAGATCATCACTGACACCTTTGTTCGATGGACAATGGCTTCAATCAGATAATCCGCAACTATTTGATTAATCGAATCGCACTCACTGATAAATGAATGAATCTGGTGAGCGCCTATACTCTCTCTTTCTCTCTTTTTCTTTCTCTCTCTCTCTCTCTCTCTCTTTCTTTCTATCTCTCTCTATCTCTCTCTCATAGCTAATAATACCTATTCTTGCTATGTAATAGATCGAACCGATGCATATAATAATATTCATATAGTAATTGATGCGCTCTACGAAAGCCTTTTGACCGGCTTAATAGACACTTGTCTAGTCACATTAATAATTTTTCTTAACTACCCTTAAAAAATTTGACACGTAAATGAACAAGTTCCATAGCACCTATATCTTTTTCTTTTTTTATTTTTTAACGATGGAATAACGTTCACACGAAATATATTATCGTAGGTGTTAAAGATCTTTTACCTAAATACAAGGACATCGGACAAAGTTCGATTAGAACCCTCTTTGTGGTTCCTCGAAACGTTGCTCCTTGAACTTTCTGCTCTCCTGGGACGGAGAGGTCACACGGTAGCCTTACCCGCATTCCCGTGGGATCCCATTGGCATCCCTAATGGAAAGGACGAAGATGGTAAAATAGGAACGACACACTTCTGGACTCGTAGATTATACCAGGATACACGTGACGTATGTACGTACATACGTCTCCATGACGACAACGATAACAATGACGATAATGATAATGACGACTATAATGATGATGTTAATCATTCATTAGCTTGACGACGAATAATCTAGATCCGCTTTTCTCATCTAGCCATCGGCGATTTAGCTGGGGATATACGGTCTTCGGGTTACCAGGATGCCAGGACACCGAAGGATCCGCGAAAATTCTTCTTCTTTCTCGTCGACGCTAAACCTACTGTTTGTTGACACTGAGAAGGAGACATCAGGAATCGTGGGAGATCCAAGGGAAACTTCATTTATGTAACCCTGATAGGAAAAATCCTACCAAATCTGGATAAATCCGTGAACGAGATGGATAAGTTTAATCGTACATGAACGCGATTCTTACTTCTTGTTTAATCTATTAACATTCCATCTTGAATTTCACGCCATTAAGAAGTAATCGTAAATGAAAGAAACGATGAGAGTAATCGAACAAGTTCTATCTTAAGATCGTCGTTAAAATCCCGCTTTTCCACCTATCCACTCCTCATAACGAGTGAGAAATTTTTTACATATTTTTATGGTATTTTCAAGATTTATTTGTTTATTCACTTCTTATAAAAATGTAAAGAATATAACAAATTATTAATAATATAATTG